TATATATATATATATATATATATATATATATATATACAAGCCTGTAAAAAATATATCTTCGGGCATCATAATCATTTCCAGACCCAGATGAAAAAGGCAACCTCTCTAAAACCTCTTCCACTGGTTCATAAATGTTTCATTTCCTCAGGATCTCATGTCAAACTTATGTCTTTCCACTGAAACTGAAACGCTGCAGCTGCAGCTGCTATGTGGGTGTTAGCCTGTAACTATATTTTATTTTATTTTATTTTATTTTACTCTGTGCATTCTTTTTTAATTCCCCAAAAACAGGATGTTCTTTTAGTGAGTTGTATCATTTCTGTAGATTTTATGAAACCAAAACCCTGAACCAAATCTTTTTTTTTTTCCTTGCAGATATTACGACGGGCTGACAAAAATGGTGAGTAAACAGCTAATTGGATATGACATGGCTAGTTAAACATAGAAATTCACATATTTGATGGCTCATTGGTGACAAGCAGTGCTGACCTGTAGGGCGAACTCCTTGACCCTGCTGGAGCGTTTGTGTGTTTTGTGTATTTTACTGAGACAAATATGAGACAGAAAACGCAGGACCAGAGTCCGGAGATGCTGCAAAGCTATGTTTATGTGTGGATGTGACTGGATTTGAATGCATATCTCTGTCAGTATCCCTTACCTTTGCTGTGAATCTTGCTGCATTAACACAATTTCAGTGGAGTTAAATGGTTGTACATTACTGTGACCTTAAAGGTCAACATCTTCTCCAGGACTTTGCACTAAATGCGAACATAATGTGTTTTCCTTGCAAACATGCCATCACTGCATTTTAATTTATTTGCTCCAGTGTTTTTATGATTGAACCCCCTCTTAGCTTTTAAAAGACCTCCATCTCTCTGAACACCCTCTGGGAAAACAGAGATGAGTGTGAAACAATGCTAAACAGAGCTGGAAAACAGGAAAATGTCCCAGTTCTTAATCTTTTATTCATGCAGCAGTGCATCCTTATTTAATGGAGATGCAAAAGGAGGAAGTCATTAATACATGCAGTGTAATGTACTGTATGCATTCAACTTGTTTACATAGTCTATATCTATCTATCTATCTATCTATCTATCTATCTATCTATCTATCTATCTATCTATCTATCTATCTATCTATCTATCTATCTATCTATCTATCTATCTATTTATAGTCTAACATAGTTGGACACTGTATGAGTGAATGCTACCAGATGTATAATAATATGGATACTATATGAAATAGTCTAATATCTAAAAGAAAAAAGCACAACCAGACGACAACCTCTCTCGGTAATGGTTCTACGCTTCCGTTTCATAGTGTAGCGGTCAGCGCACCTGCCTCGAAAGCAGAGAGCTTTTTGGGTCCAATTCAGTCTGTTAACAGGATATCTGCTGCTAACCCAAATTTCCCAAATATGGGATCAATATAGGTAAAATTATAATTATTGTCCAACTTTTTGGGATATGGCTGCAGGTCTTCATTTTTATTGACTTTTGTCCATTTATGTTGCATTTTGAAAATGCAACATAAATGGACGAAATGGAACACATTTTCTAAATTATTTACAAAACCCTTATGAAGATTAGTTATTGTTTTCTGGTTTATACCGTACCTCACATGTACAGCACGTCATTTTGAATACATATTTTCCCCAAAAGACTCTGGGTTTGAGAAAAGAGGAGGAAAAGCTCAGCGTGTGGTTTTATCTTCAGATTCCAGCTGAGTTCCATGAACCCAGTGAGTCGTGCACACGTGAAGAGAAATGCCCGCTTCCAATCAGCACTGAGTGGGCGCCATGACACGCCTGGAGCACTGCAGATTTACTACATAATGAAGGCCATCTACCCACCTACAGTACCACATTCTGCTCTATATACTGATAGAGTAAGAAGTAAAAGTATTTTTTAATTTGATAAATAATCTAAACAGAATAAGTCCAAGAAGTTGTATTAGAAATTTGTAGCCTTTTTTTCTTTTGCCTTACATTAATGTAATTGTCTGGGACACATAGAGTATGAATGGATTAATAATGTAGTTGGTTTAAGAAAAGCAAAATACATATTTTTAATTGATCTATTGAAGTTTATTATTAGGAAACAAAGCAAACTACATCAAAAAAGAAAAATTAAATCGAGTCAATATTTGGTCTTTTAAACTAAATGCTTCCTCTTTAAACAGGTTTAAACAATGTATATTTGCATTCTACTTAAAACCAAACAAATATGCTGTAGGCACATAACACACCCGTTCTGTTTCCTCCTCTAATCTAACAACTATTTGCTCACTTGCAGTTCTTAATTAAAGGAGTCTTCATTGCTGCAGCAGGGAGGACTGTAGATCAGCGGCCGTGTCTGTGTGTGAGCTGCAGCTGTGATGGAGGACGGAAATATTTTCAACCTTTTGGGAAAATGCAGATATTCTAATGCCATTTATTTGTTAAACCGCTTGAGCAGCAACAAAATCTAACCAGGGACATCGGTCGTGCGTTGGCTCTGTGTTAACTAATGAGTTTTTAATTAATCTGGTGTGTATTCATGCTCTATCCATTTATCTAACAGCACATTAAATATTGAAATGTTCTAATAACACCACATGGGGGTGTATGACTTTGACCAACAACCCAGCACTGACAGTGAGTCTGTAATACTGAACAAAGACGTTGCTTCTCAGAAATTGAAAAGCAAGTCATAAAATTTTAAAGCTGATCAGCTCTTAGCGTCTCCTAGTGCACGTCCAGTCCAGTCTGTCACTATCATGCGGTTCTGAACATTGTACAGTTATTAACAATTACTAACAGAAAAGTCATGGTGATGTTGGCAAACCGAAGAAGACAATGAATGCACAAATTTAGCACCTACTAGTAGCACTAGGTGGCGCTGTGGCACTGCGATTTTTTTTGTCCTGCATTTTTTGTCTCTATATAAAAAAAACCCTAAAGTGTAACTGTAGAATGTTGGTGGCCATAAAGTAATATGTTGGGAGGGTGCCACACGAATCAATCAATATTCACTCAGAAAGTTTAAAATACTAAGAAAGTGGGATCTCAATATAGTTTATTATTGTATTTTGGTTGAAGTTTGAAACTAAATGTGATCCTTTGCTGAGGAAAATGAAAAATTCCGCTTCATCATTAGTTATGCATTTTTGTCTTTGTCACGGAGTTGTACTATTAATAGACTATTTTTGCTTCAGAAATATTTTGTAACCCCCCCCCCCCTTTTTTTTTGACATTTTGGCCGTACACCAGAAGGCGATGATATTCTTCTGAAAATGTCATTTGACTCTCTTGAGTCTATTTTTATCTCTCACATTCCCTTGAATTGCACTGTTTGAGTTCATTAAATATTTCTGCTGCTCCCCTGCAGCATTTTTAAGGTTTTGAGTTCACTATAAATAATCACATTTTCACTTTTATTTTTTCAGCATCTGTCTGTCTGTAGTTAGCTGTTAGTCATTCACCTGAATGTGTTCTAAATAAACGAAGCACTGTGAGAGCCGAGGGCTGATGACGCCGACTAAATCTATTTCCTACACAGTACAACAAAATATTATTTTCCGTCACGGTGTCAAAAAGAAGGAAACTAAGACAAGTGATTTTGCAACATCATGTTTTATGCCACTGTTATAGAACATTCAGCTAATTAATGTTAATGAATTAATAATGAGCATTATCTGTAAAGTAAACTTGTTGAAAAGCTTAGCAGTTTTCAATCACTCCAGTAAACATTCGTCACTAAGCCTCCTTTGGGGAGTTTAGCTTCTTAAACTCAATATATTGCGTAAAAGAAAAAGTCCAGTTTATAGTATTTGGTATTTGCTTCCATTTTTGCAGTGGTCAAAACCTTAATCCGTTGATTCAAATTACTGTAACTGATAATAATACAAAAAATTAATCATTGAAATTATTTTTTTGTGCTTTACTTGTTATTTCCAACACCAGTTACAGTCCTTACATTTGAAGAACAAAATCAATCTTCTAGTTTGTAATAATTTTGTTTTGTTTCAATGCTAGGAATCAACTCCAAATAATCTGCAATTTTTGCTATTAAAATGGGCAATAAAGGAGCACAAACCAAAGACAAGTCTTTATAGAATGACCAATGACCAACAGTCAAGTTAGGTCAACACAAGGAGGGTCAAGGAGGGTCAACACAAGATTTAAAAAAAGACCATTATCAGTTTTGTAATTTTCTCCTTGCTCAGAAATATCAGACTGCAGCCTGGATGGAATCTGCAGACAGAGTGTATAAAGGTTTGAGTGCTTACGGAGCAGAGCTGACGAGACCTGATGATTATCTGGAGTTAAAGCTCAGATGTCTGACTCAGTCGTGCTGTAGCCCTTAGTCTCTGCTCTCACGGCTAATGGCCCTTCACGGGGCTTCTAACAGGCAGACAATGTGTACTTTTAGTAAACAGTCTGTGTAATTGTTCGCCGAGAACTTAGACTACACTAAGGTGGCTGTAGCTGTCTACCTCCAAACTGTAAACGTTACCTAGAGACATGGAAGCCTGGACGGTTGGTTTTAATGAATTAATGAAGGTGTGCTGCAAAAACAGAGCTATCTATCTTGAGTTAGAACATTAATTATTATTTTAAGGTTCTGTTCATCAAACATAACTTTCCTTTTATTTCTTTTTCTTCTCTTTTCCATTCCCTTTATTTTACGTTTCTTTAGAATTGCTACAGTAAACTTCCATAATAGGATAAAAAGCCACTAAAGCTGTCAGAAAGTCTCTCCCTTATGAGCGTCAGTGCTCAAATAGAGAGAGACTGTTTTTATCTTTTGCGGCTCTTTTTTCCTCATTACTGCCCTGAATTGATGACTACTGACTCCTGCTCGTCTTAGCTCCGTGTTGCTGTTTTTTCCCCTTGTGTCTCCTCTCAGACGATGGAAAGTTGTCCTTGGATGAGTTCCAGTACTACTTCACCGATGGTATCCTGACGGAGGAGCAGATGCAGGAGCTGTACTACTCCATCGACAGGCAGCAGACAGAGTGAGCTCTTCTTCTTGCTGGAAATCCTCCAGCTTTGCTGTCGTCCATCTGTGGATCCTGCTGCCTAACAGTGGGATGTCAACACTTCCCCGTCAGACAAGATGATGTTAATATTCCACACAGATCCTTCACGCTGAAAATAAGACCCTGAGTTTGCAGCATTATGTTTGTAGACTGAGCATCATTGTTTAAACAGGTTACCTACACACATGCTCTGAGGCCATTATGTAATAAGCATTTGATTATGTTTATTTACGCACTATACATTGATGTACAGTCGATGCGTGTAGTGATCGCATAGTTAGTAAGGTTAGTTACACAGAGCTAATATTATGTGTGGTTCTGTATATGGAACCAGGAGTGGCAGAGAAGTACCTGAGGGTGGTGCAGGTCATTTATGGGGACAGCAAGACAGTTTTAAGGTGTGCATTCAGAGTGACAGATGGGTTCCCTTCTCGCTTGCAGGACATAATAGGAGAATACATCAGATGAAAGACTGAGTCTAGGTAACAACATAAAGCTTTAAAACTTTTTTTACCAGTTTTACTGAACAAAAGTATGGAGTCTGTGTGACGATAAACTGACCTAGCCACCTTCACGTCTTTTCTGCTGAATAGAAAGCACTGTGCTTTTAAGAAAGCCACAGAATTGAGGTTCTGTCAGCAGAAATCCTTTTTTTAATGACTGTATTTATCTTTTCTTTCTTTTTTACAGCAACCTGGACATAGACAAACTCTCAGGTAATTGTTTGTTATTGTTGCACAACTCTCAGGTGCATTATCAGTGTCTTCTACTGAAACTGACATACAACTTTACCCTTCTTGTTTAATAATAGCTGTCAGATGGTGACGTGACTCAAATGTGCATGCCTCAGCCATGAAGCTGTATTATAGTATTGGCCAAAAGACGTTCAGTGCAATTAATCATGTCAGTGTTGATTCATTCTGATTGAAGGATCTTTACAAATTCTACCTTTCAGACTACTTCACTCCACATCTTGGAGAATACGTCAACGTCCTGTCTGCTTTGGAGAAGCTGAATGTGGCCATTTTGAAAGCAATGGACAAAACCAAAGAGGTGGGTTTTGATGGTTTCTCACAACTGAAATATGGTAAATTCAAGAAAGTTATAGACATAAAGGTGACCTTATATGAAGGTGACATGGACATGGCTGAAATACCAGACATTTAATCATAAATGGCCTTGGAAATCAGATTTAAAATATGCTTCACATTTGATTCTGGCTGTAAACTCTAATTAATATTTCATTAGTCATCCTTACAGGAGCATTCATTTTCTTTATAACTGTACTATAATTCAGGGAGATTTTTATTATCACAAGTTTTCATGTTCCACTTTGAATGTGTGTTTCAGAAAAAGAAAATCTATTTTAAACGTGAACTGTTAGCAATTTTCTCTTTCGTTTCTTGCTGATTTATACAATGTTGCATCCATTTTTTTAACTAACACAATGATACATAGAATTAGCACATAAAATGGCTGGTCGCAATTTATTAAAAAACAAATCAGCGCAAGAAGGTCTTCATCTTCATGAGTCTGCAGTATCTACTGTAAGACAGAGCAGATTTTTACTTCATCATTTGGCAAAAGAACAGCCTCAGAAGTGATACATGTCAGGCTGTGGACGCTCTGTGCTGCAGTGACTTATTTCCACTGCAGTGCAGAAAAAAAGTTAGTGATGACAGTAACAGAGTCCATCTGATCTGACATAAAATGTCCTTCACAGATCTGCAACACACACATTCTCCCATGTTTCATATCTTGATTTTTTTTTGTTATTCAATCAAAGAGCTACTTTTATCATCTTTCTCTGTTCAACAATTCTCTGAACATGTTGCCTCTGTCTAGTTGTAGTTATAGTTGTTATATCTCCACACACAGTAACTTCAGTTTATTTTGTACACCATGAAAGAAATGTATAAATAAAAGACACTAAAGCAACACTAGCTCGCTATTTAGCCCACCAGCTAGTTAACTAGCTAATTTCTAGTAGTTGTTTTCTTAAAATTGGTTAAATGTGTGTTTACTGGTAAAATGTATCAATTTATTTGGAAAAAATGAGTTTAGTATATATTCAAACATGTTATAAGTATCTCCTTCAAACCATTACTAGGATTTATACTATTTTATTTTGGGAAATATAGTCTGTGGATGTTTCTCTGAAATCCAATGTTTTCAATTACTAATACATACTTGTATTTCTGGGCAAGTAGTTGTCAGGGCCTCAGGCAGGATTATAATTACTCCTCTTGTTGATTAAGTATACAGTACATGCTTTGTGTGGTATCTTTTCTGGAATGAGATTAAAAATATGTGCACAGGTTCTGGTTTGTAGGACTTTTAGGTACTTTGAACACATAAAGGTTTAAACATAAATGGAAGTGATTCACAGATGTGATCCACGTTGTTGGGGTCTTTATTTAAAGTGCACACAAGTCTGATATATGTATGCTGTCACAGCTCCTCTGTCTGGGAAAGAGGGGTTGATGAAAGCCCTTGGCTTTGTGAGTCATACAGTGCAGTGTCTGCAGCTCATAACAGAACACACACACTGAGAAACAATGACTCCCTTTATTCCTCAGTGGTCAGCGGGTTATTCTGAACCCAATTTTCCACAGATGCTGTTGAGTCTGACGGCTACCATTAGCTGCAAAATCCAGGTCAGCAGAGCTATGTTTTAGATAAAGAGCCAAAATGAAAACAGAAGTGACGGCTTTAGGACTGATGCAGTGTCAGTGAAGTCTCAGCTTCAATATCTAGTCTTATTTCCAATCATAGAGTACATCACGACTTGCATTATACGTACAGATACAAATAATTTTAGTTAAAAAAATAATGTGCTGTTTATGTGCTATTCTGTAAATATAATAAAAATGTTAAATACTATTAAGGAAACCGAACTTTGATATTTTATTATATACAATATTATGACATAACTTGCTAAATATGTTTTTATTTTGTTGTTGCTTTTCTTTTTTAATTTTTACTTCTATTACCACAGGTTTACCATTTTTGCTATTTTATTTCACCAAAATCTTGTAAAATGAGTTTCAAATAATAAAAAAAGGTAGTTTAAAATTTAAAGTAAAACAATGTTTTGTTATATATTATTTTATTATAAAGTTAATAATTATAGATAAGAATTATATTGGGAATAGCAGAGTTTGAAGTCACATTTGTGTTGTGTCTGACTCATTTGCAGGAGGATAACATGTAGCTCTTCTTCTATAAAAATAATGATAGAAGATTTATCCAGTCTCACCGCTCTATGCCTATTTCTTTCACTACAGTATATTCTCTTATATTTTTACTTCCAGGAGTACCAGGG